GCGTATTGAGAATTAATCATTGAGAATCGTTCAAGTGAATGTTTTATTCGATTGTGTACATTAAAATTGCGGTTTTGGGGTTATATTATGTTTGTAAGTTTTAATTTATTTCACTATTAATAATATTTTTTGTGTAATATTATTAAAGCTAAACTGTACTGTCTTTCAATTCCATCCTATTTGACTAGTGCAGTGGTAAATAATAGTCATCTGCTGTAGGGTGGCTAGAGAGCGGTCTGCTAGGCGGCCTAGGGTGAATCCTGCATATCAGCTGCCACGTTTCAATGTACAGTTTAAGTAACTTATACCATAAGTCGTAGAAAAAGTTCCGTAGGAGACTCGACGTATTGGGTTAATTACGAGATCAATACACTCATGTGACGTCTACGATGCTCGTTCCTCGCTCGTATCATACTGACACTCGTATCAATATCCATCATTTCATCATCGTTTCATAATATTTTAGAGACATTTCTCAGAATTTTCTCAGTGAATCAGCACAAAAATATCATTTTTCCTTGAGAAGACTGACATGGCTCGAATGACATCTCATTTGTCTCCAATGACATGCCAAATATCTCATTTGTCTCGACCGGAAGAAGTCTGAGTGACGGATGCAGGGTGGTTATTTGATTACTACCCAAGGATTTGATCCACTCTGTCGCAATGGCGAAGGCAAGAAATATTTTGCCCGTACTAGGTTGCCTTTTACGTACTGTTGAGGTTTTTGTAAAAATTTGACTTTTCCTTTAATCCAATTAATTTATTCTCAATTATTCCATGTAGTTTCGATTCTTGCCTGTTACTCTTGAATGTGATTCTCTTGACGAAACCAAGTGTGTATTTTCGAAAATTAAGAAAATTAAAATATTTTTTGGTACTACAATATTAAATTATACATATTAATGAATGTTGCATATTTTGAAAATAGAGATCTTTTTAATGAAATATCCTTTAATTAAATCTCCTTTAATACTAGATCATAAAATAATATCAAAGCAAAAATCAAAAATTTTCGAAAATATCAAAAGCAAATGTACATTGTTTTTAAACCGTCGCGGGAAGACTGATTTGCACTTGGGTCTGGTGGTGTAGGAGGTAACTTGAAGGGAATGCTAAACCTGAGGTCAAATAGTAGGATAGATTTTTTTGTCTTTTTGCTGTTTGGAAAAACTTTTGCACGTTCAAATACTTTTATAATATTGCGTGGTTGTTACAAATAATACAAGAAAGTATGTATTGTTTTTATAGCGAGTGGTCACAAAACAAATAACGATTCTCCCATTCCGTCGTATCTTGCTCCCGCTTTTGAAACTTGTGCATCTCTGCCTTCTTATGCAGTAACCTACAACCTACTAGAGATAGATAAATATTTTAAGAATATTTACATAAATTTTCGCAATTGCTTCGAACGAACTTACACAATGTTATCAGAATAACACATTGTATTTCCAGGTCAACACAGTACCCAGACTCTTTTCCTGTAAATTCTGCAACATGCGATGACGGGCGGAAAAAGGAATACGCCACGGCCCGAGTTCTTTACGGGCGGTGCACGCTCTCGGTTAGATTCGCGCACGTGTAAGATAAAATGCACATTTCACGTGTCTCACTCAGAGTATCGCCGAACTGATGTATTACGAGGCGATGTTCAGAATAGCAGAACAGAGGAGGTTCAGGTACAGGCAGAACTGCATATGTGTAATGATTAAACTAGTGGTGTTCCAACACACACTTTTTCGCATTATTTGTAACTTTTGAAATTTTCAATAATTTAGAGATTTAAACGAAAATCCGACTTGCGACTTTTCATGTGCGTACTTTGCATTCTCCGAGAAAAAGTGAATGAAAAAATTAGAAGCTGTTTTTCAAAAAATTATGTTTTAAAAAATTGGCTTCATTTCACGGAAAATTATGCAAAAAACCTACATAGTTTAAAATAAATTGTACTGTATCTCATTTTAATATTTAAATGTGAAAGCAGACTTCATTAAAAAACTCTCTTCAGTGCTTTAGTTTCAGAAAGACTTTGGAAAAATTAAACTTTTATAATTTTTGTAAATTCAGGGTGTCTCACAAAAATAGAGCATGGCAATTTTTATAAGACTATTTTGTTGTAACTAAAAGAGAGAAAAAGGAAAAAAAAACTAGGGGCAATTTATTGAGAAAGTTCATCGAGACTTCTTCTTAAGTACCCTCAAAATCAAAATATCCCTTTCAAGTTTAAGAGGGCGCCATATCAATCAAAGCGATCTAGGAATATTGATGATGGTGAAAATTCTGCCTACGGTTTAGCCCCTTGTGTTGTATAAATGACAGACGGTAGACCGATAGTTTTACCGCAAACCAATTTTTCGCGAAGACGTTTCCTCAAAACGTAAATTATGATTCCTCAACGTGACAGAGGAAGTTATTTACTACAACTTGTAATAATAATTATCTACTTCTTCGATATCGAGAATCGTCGACGAATTTTCGGCAGAAAAAGTATTAGTTTTCGCCACAGCGTTTCGTAAAACTTTTTTATACTACGTAAATAGTGCGCGGGAAAGCCAAAGGTACTAGTTTTACCATCCGGATCACCAGCAACTTCCGCCATTTAACGCGCACAACATCTATGGTACTAACGACTATAGCAGTTGATGCTCGAGGAATCAGCAATCGTGGGATGCAGCGATCATTTGGGGGGAAAATGGATCATTTTAGGATAGGGGAACAGCCAATCTCTCGGACCTAATGGCTTGAATGGAGAATGGGGAAAGTAGGATCGCGTGAGATACCGGACCAATTTGTTTAAGGTGCAGCTTCGGATGGAAATAATAAGTGCAACCACAAAATCCAGGAATGCGAGCAATATCTATACTATCTCGGAAGGTGTCATAAACTCACTAATGTTTTCCTAGATCCTGCTCGGGATCTTCCAGTCACCGATATTCCCTACCGTTAGGATGCCTTAAATCTTACAGCTATCGGCACTGGTGTTCCATTAGACCTATCCAATCAGTAACCCTAGCTTAAAAGCCATTTTTTTAAAACAGCTCCAAATTTTTCAATGAAAATTACCATTTAGGACGATATTTTACTCTCTTTTAATACTCGTAAAGAAATAATACGGTTCTGTTATTACGAAACAGAAGAATTGGAAAAAGAAATTAAAAATGTATTTTCGGCGGCGATAGATGGCAGCATGCAAGACATGAGCCAAGTACGAATAGCTAGCACAGATCAAAGAAAATTGAAAACGAATACGAGAATGTCTGTGCAACTCTGTAACACCACTAGTTTTTAAAATTTATTTCTACCTGTTCCTGGAGAATCACTTTCAGGGTTTTTGACATTACAATTTGACATCACTGAGGAATAGGATTTCACAGGGACCGTGAGGTAGGGATTATTGACAATATTACGTTAAATATATAAAATATATTAGTCAAAGAATGTGTAATTAGATATTTTAAGACATTTTAGTTGAACGAGAAAGGGAGCTAATAGATATTATGTGGTTGTGATGGAATTTATGTTTCGGAAATCTTAAAAGTATTCGTCGAAAAAATTGATACATTTGACCTAAATTAAACGTGAGAGATTGTTGTAAATCATCTAAAGAGTTGAAGAATTTCTGGCTGTGATAATTTATTAAAGTGAGAGTAGTAAATAGTAATAATGTAGTGTAAACACTAACCAGAAAGAAAATATACGTTCTTGAGTGAAGACGAAGATTTTAATAGAACACAAGTCAGAGTGGCGTAATTTAGTAGATAATTTGATGTAAGAAATGCAATGCCATATTGACGGTGTATTTGATTTATGCGGTATATTGCGAAAAAAATAAACGGACTACTGTATGTGGAAAAGTGGATATTGTGAACTGTATGTGTGGAATTGGACCTAAAGGAAGGAGTTTTGTTATATGAAAGATGAAAAAATAAACATAGTTATAATTATTGAAAGTTGTGAAATTAACCAAATATTTTATTATTATTTCAATTTAAAAAGCAATATTGTAGAAGTTGTAAAACTATTATTATGAAAAATGTTATCTTCTATTTTGAATTAGAAAACCTTTCAATTTAATATTTTTCGTAAATTACCTTATTCAAATATATGATGTATGCCATAGAATCACCGGCCCTGAACAAATATTAAATTGATATTTTTGTTTTCCTCCAATTAATGTAATTTTCTTTAATGGAAAAGAAAGGACCACATTAGGGAGAAAAATGTGAATAATGATAGTTTTCGTTACATTTTCACAATTCTATAAGAAGTCACGAGATTTGATCGGGGTGTAATGAAAATGGCAAAAAATTATGTAAACATCGAAAACATTAGGTAAACAAGTTTTCCTTACTGAGTTAAGACATAGTGCAAAACAGTTTTGATTTGCAAAAATTCTACAAAACAATGAATTGAAAGATAAGTCAGAACCATACTATATTGTAAAAATTGAAAAGGTCGTCCTTTTAAACTATAAAAAAAAGTTATAGTGTTTTGATGAAGTTAATGTAGCAGAAGTGATAAATGAGTGAAGATGTTCAGAGAAAAGTGCACCCTACGGATTCATTAATATGAAAGTGTCGTATGTGCTCATCTGCTATAACTTTAAGCAAAATGAAACTGGCATGTCAGTTCAAGGCAGATACATTGGAATGGAAAAGTTAAACTCATGATCTTAACGTAAACTGTTCTGCAAAATTCGAATTTAACTCTTATTATCAGATATCTTCTTTTACGTGTATACTTTTTAGCCTATCTCATAATTCTCATTTTAGCTTACCCGGTTAAGTACTCATTTTTACTACCGTACATGTACTCTGTTTCTCGTAACTGCTTTCAAACCTGACTTTACAGAAATTAAAACCTCAACTGACCCATGTTGAACCTGCAAACTAAAACTGTTCCATTATCACAATCCACTTCCACAATGGCAAATCACTGGTAGTCCAAATATTGTAAAAGGTTGATAAAGTGCTTTCTTAAAGAGTCAATTTTGCCCACAGGTGGTGGAGGCGCTGAGGGCCCGCTATGGGGACTTATACACCGAGCGCAACGTGATGATTAGCGGCACCCACACCCACTCGGGACCCGGCGGCTTCTTACAGGACATTCTCTTCGACCTCAGCACGCTGGGCTTCGTCAAGGACACCTTCGAGGCCCTGGTGGGCGGTATTGCGCTGGTAAGTCACCCGCTTGTCAGCCACTGTAAGAGGGCTGCAAACGCGCCTAGAATGTAAACCGAGAAATGGCGAGGACGCAAACTCTTATTAAGACAAATAAATAAACGAAGGAAAGGCAAATAAACATGATAACCGAATAAATGACTGAATAAACGACTAAATGAATTAATGAATGAATGAATTAATTAATTAATTCATGCTCGAATGAATGCATGAGTGAATGAATGAATGAATATCCCAATAAATGGATGAATGACAACCAAGAGGCCATTGCCTGTTTATTGAATAAAGAATAATAGGATGATGGAGCTATTGAGAAATATGTTGTATAGGGAAGGAATATCACATTAAATTTCTACGTTTCCGCACCTCCCACCAAAGTGTTATAGTTGACTGATATTTGAATCCAGTTTCAGACACACGGTGTTTGTAATAGTCAATGCTTATAAAAGATGCTTATAAAAAGAACACGTAACTTCTGGTTCAAAATATTGATATTACCACAGATTGCTTGTATTCCCAAATTTATCAATCCTTGCTGGACGCGGTGCAACGGGTTACGGAGTTTGTAAATAGTTTACAGGTAATATAGTATTATCTTTTGTAAAATTTCCGCATACAATTTTACTTTAATGGTACAGACAGTCATCGTCTCATTTTATTTCAGTACCTACCTACTGTTTGAGACTTACACGCAACAAATCTTTATAAATGAGATCCCTAAACAAATAGAATTTCCAGGAGATGTGACGAATTGCACTTAGACGTTAAAAATATGAAGGATTTGTTAAAATAAAAAGCATCTAAATACATATGTAAAATGCAACCCACAACACTCGGTAAACTATATCGTTAAATAATGCATAAGCGTAGCGTTCTAGTGCCTTAAAAACTAAAAGTTTGAGGCCAAATGCCTCAAAGAAGCAATCCTCACATAGTAGTCTTCAGGGGGAGATACTCTAGAATATTCTATTAAATTTTTGCCGGTTCGGGGTTTATCCATACTACCAATACCACCAAATATTCAGCCATTGGGCTGCTGACCATCGTTGGTGACCTCATGCGTAGAAGGCTTAGTTTCCTCTATCTTATATTTACGCTTTGTGCACCGTTGTTTGCACAGACTGACCAGGTTTATTTACAATTATTATTTGCGTATTAATTATTCATTACAAACATTAATTATGTTAATGAAAATAAGTACAAAGATTAATTACATTAAGAAGGTACATTTGTACATTTTTTAAACCGAATAAATACGTTTCTTTAACAATTTTACTTCTTAATATGGAAATGGAAGAATAGGGAAAGGGTGGGGTTTATCATGAGAGAATTTTCGCACGGGAACGCTAGTGTCGATATAAAACTATATAGAATACAAAGCTAGAGAACGCTCGAAAAATCTTATTGTCTTTCATATTCGACTTTTTATCTCTACTATTGTATTACTTCTTAACATTTTTTTTACAATACGTGATGAGCCATCCGGCTACGTCAACAGTAATTTTGATATGTAAATATTTCCCGAAAGTGAAATTGTGGCTAGTAAACAAATGAAGGGGAGACAAAAATAAAACGTTTCTTGTGAAATTTACCCACATCTGAGAAAAAGTATTCAATAATAAATATAGCGGACGCAAATTAAGAAAAAAGAGTGTGTGAATTATACAATATGTATATTTGGTTTTGGCAACTAGAACGTAAAAATTATATTACGTGGAAGACAGTTGCTTGAGCAAAGTCGAAAGATTTAATGAATAAAATCCAATTAAAAGCAATTATTGCCAAAAAAAGTTTTTGACGAGATAACATTAGAAATATTTTGTCGGCAATAGAAATGTGTGACAAAGGTTTTAATAAAATGAACAAAAAAGAAAGCGTTCTACAGAAGTGGACGTACGGCAATGAGGAGATTGTCTTAGTAATATTTTTCGTCTAAGTATTTTTTGTTGTGCAGCGAATTGTTGATTTAGGTGGAATCACTATGAGACAAGTAATGAAAATAAACAATGTTTGCGAAAAGTAAAATAAATGAGAGTTACGCCGACTATTGCGGTCACCTTAGCATTTGAAATTAGAAGCTTTGTTGTTATTGTTGTTTTATTATTATTTACAAATGTGGTGATGCGTACTACAAAAGAAAGCCACGTATCCTATCCACATAAATATCGTTATTTTGTATTATATTATTATTTTACCGAATACTGAAATTAAAGTAATAGTGGTAGAACTAATCTAAAGGTTTCAGCAGCTCCCAAGTGAGGGGCAAAGAACTATTGGTGTTACTATTAAATAATCCATACGCAAGCGGTCTCAGCGGCTCCCATGCATGGGACCGAAGTACAGGAAGTATTATTAAATAAAGATATGAAATTAATCAAGTGAAATCCACTGAAAATAATTCGTGTTTTTTATTTAAAAGGTTCTTTGAAAAGGTAAATGAAATACTTGATGTGGAATTTTCGATCACTATTTTTTTTTTTTGAAGGGAAACGAAATTATGGACAAGAAGGATAAAATATAAATTAACGTTGGTGGCAACGCCTGATATGTCAGAAAATATACTTATTTTCCGTAATTACCGTAGTTACCTTTTTAGAGTTGAAATTATTGGCTGTAACAACCCTCAAAGTGCAGAATAGTTGGAGTCGACTTCTATACATCTGAGCAATTACCAGAAGTGGATCTCAACGCATGTGACATACGGCAGCGATGCTGCAAATTTACAGCATCCTCGTTAATTTAATTGGTTTGAATTATTGCAGCTCAACGTTGCCAAATTAAAGGATGATAAATTGGGTGCAGTCTAATGTTCGTGCTTACCTAAATGAGTGAGAATGTTTATGTAGCCAAGGTTAATATTTTAACATTTTTATTCACATCACAATCTACGTTTGTGAATTTAAATGAGTAAGAGTGAATTCCGTATCACAATTATAGTATACAACGAATGAAGAAACATAATTTAATAACTAGCTGAACCCTTGCGATTACATTTCACGAAAGGGAGAGCTGTCGAAGGTTAGAACAGAAAAGTAATACATGCATTACCTGGAAAATCAAAACCTCCAAAAATGTTGTTTCATATCGTTTAATACTTATTCTCCAAAACTGATGAAATATGGGACACATTCTGGAGCAATTCCATCACTATTAATAGTGCACATGGAGTTAAAACTATTTTTAAAAAGTCATTAAAATATTTTATATTTAACAAAATGTGTCCATGTATAGTAGATTATTCTAAGATATCCTGCAATCTACCGTAACTTAAAAATGTAATGTATCACATATAATTGTAATCACTACACCTTTTTGAGAAGGGACAC